TTGATGTTGGGGGGCCAGTATGTAAGACAAATTTCAGTTCCCACATCACAAGCTCAGCCCAATACTGCACAAAACTTAAAAGAAGAACTGCATAGACTACAGAAACTGGACTACTCTCCTATGACTCCTATAGGAAGATCTCCCTAAACAACTGCTGAGGAATATTTGCATATGCAAGAAACTGGTCTTGCTGTTGCTTTTCATTCATCAGGGCTGTGCCAGCATTTTAAAATGCCTAAGTGGCAGATATTTTAATGAAACTTAGACTCATTTGTCTAAGAACAATTTTTTAACTAACTTAGGTGCTTTTGTAAAGGTAAAATAAAATCTATACTTCTCAGTTTTCTCTCAACATATTGCTGACTACAGTTGCTGATAGGTCACTTCTCTCTCTCCTTTGAGTGCCTGTTCACATGCCCATTCTCACCATGTGTTACTTCAACACCATGGTCACATAGCTGTTGTTTCTAGGTAAAGAGGTGTGTCAGAGTGATATTGTAGCCTTGATGATCCAGAAATTATGCAAGAGGCAAGACATTTTAGGGTGATATCTTTTATTGAATCAACTATGTAGTTCGGATGAAGTTAGACAAACTTGCAAATAAAAGATAACACCCTAAGAAATTCTTGCCATATAAACAGCATTATTTTGTAGGTAAAAGGAAACCCTTTCCATACTCAATGAGTGCAAGGACATCTCAGTATGGGAAGAATTAAGTATGGAAAAGAATACTACAAGATGATCTATTGACTGAGATAAAATTTAGTATAAGCTTCGATCATAACATTGTGCAAGTCCTTAATGGTGACCTGCCTGGATAGAAGACTGTATAAGGAGCAGGGATATCTATATATATTAGTGGTATTTTGTTTTAATCATGGAAAAAACTGTGGATTTGGGGTTACTTTTTTAAATTAAAAAAATGGCAATTTTTTTAAATCCGAGAAAACCAGATCCCTGGTAAGGAATATCTGTCAAGAAGTCAAGGATCTTGCATAACATTATTGATAAAGTGAGTGCCACCAGCAAGGCTAGTTTCATGAAAAATTAGAGCAAAGAGCACATTTATAAGACTGCTATTTGAATTTAAGGCAGAGATATGAGGATCTCACAGATACCATCACAAATATCACAGGTTCCAAAATATTATCAGCCAGCAGGATCATCTGGGCCAATTTTTACATGAGGATTATCTGCAAGATCAGAGATGGCACTGAGACCACAGGATAAGGAAGGCATAAGGCATGACATTTGGAGATCAGACTTCTCTACAGAAGGAGGACTGGAACTTCTTGCTGATGTCCAGTGCAAAGAAATCTATCATTTCAAATAATCCTAGCCTTCCAAATGGACTAGACAACTAAGTTCTTGATTTTCCATTTGTGGTTTTAGAAGATGGATCTACTAAGATAGTCTGCTTTGATGTTCTGGAGACCAGGAAAGTGCAAGGTGGACAAGTGTGTTTGGTGCTTGAAATGGAGCTTGCACTTGATGGTGTTAAGCTTTCTTAGGTCTAACACAGGATACCAACCCTTCTCTTTGGAATTAGAAAGTTATGCTATAAAACTCCTTTTCTCTGAAGTGCAAAGATAACTTTGAGGTCAATAGAATAAAAGGTAACAGGAAGAAAACCTCCTGCTATAGCAGACTTTCATGTGAAGGATCCCTGAAAAAAGACAGGAAAGGGATCTGGCATAGGTATTGAATTGAAATGTAGTTGCAATATAATCCATACCTACTAGAGTATGTAGATTGGAAGTGGTCCAAAGCTAAAGAGAGGACAAGGGCAGGGCAACACCAAGGGATAACTGTTGACTGCACCAAAGGCCTTGTCTTCTGTCTAAAATATGCTATGAATCAAAGTGGGAAAAAGTATAGAAGTTGGGGCAAAGATAACCTCAGGTGGCAGCACCGTCGCTAAGTACAGACAATCAAAAAGCCTGAGGCTGAATTGATTCAATCTGGCAGGTTAGTCTAAACTGTATAGATTGAACAGATAACCAAGTGAACAGACATTCACTTTTGATTCTGGAAATGCCCCACATGCCTGCAGTGGCCCAGACCAGAAGTCAGGGGGCACTAGAGCATGCATACCTGCTTGGCTGGAGCGGACAACTTAGGCCCAGGCTAGCCCACCTATGAGGGGGGGGAAGGGGGGCTTGCTAGGGAGGTGCAAAGCATCCTAGGATGCAGGGGGACTATGAGTTAACTTGGATCTGGAGGGAATCTGGGACAAAAGTTCAATAAACCAATTTAACCTAAATTAGTTAAGTCTGATACTACATCCATCCCAGGTTTATCTTAAACCACTTTCATCCATTTTGAAAGCAGTTTATGTGCACTGAACTTCTGTTGTGTTACAGATTTGAACTGGTTTCTCATCACTTAAACTTGTTTATGTGTAATTTATGTCCTTAGCCCATGTGATACAGAAAAATTTAGTGAAAAACAAACAATTGTTCTGGTCATCCCTGAAGCCCATGTATAAATAGGCAAAGATTTAAAGTTTTTTTAAAAATGTATGTTTTTTCAAGTACAACATTTTTACTTTTGAAAACCTTGCCTTTGTTTGTAATTGTTCTCTCTCCCCAGCTATCTGTGTTATATAAATATGCAGTAAAGGAGTCTGGAAGAACAGACAGTGGGGAAAAAAGTGTTCTTAGGATTGTGGTACCTGTAATTAGCTCTATGGGAGAATGCCAAAGAGCAGTGCAGACTAAATTTCTCGCTCTTGCATATAAAATAAGATACGGTACTTTAGATGATAAAAAGCTAGGAAAATTGTGTAATATGTGCAGGATGCAGAAAAATAAGTATATTGGTCATAATATTTAAAGGCTGTAACACTAACAAATAGAATGCCGTGTCAGCCACTGTGTCCTCCATTGCTCTCTCAGTATCACTATATTCTTCATCATATATTCCTGCAATAGGAATGATTACTATGGCAATTTAGAAAATAAATTTAGAATGAATAACACCTCCTATGTTCCAGGAAACAGTGCTGGTATCACGTACCTCTTGCTAACTATCACTCAAGTTAAAACAGAACACACAGAGAGGCAGGAATCATAATGCAACTAAGTATGGCTTTTGTTTAGATGCAATGTTACTTTCTGATGTCAAAACGCCTATCAGAATAATAGATAGACTCACGTTGAAAAGTCATAATTATGCCCAGTCCTAATCACTTTAACAAGTTTCTGTCACACTTTTTAGCTTCTCACTTTCTGAGGTGAGTACATTTGACCCCCCCTGTTTGCTTAACTAGAAGAATCTGCACCGTCAGAAACATGGTCCTAGGTTATTGGAATGCCCTGCCTTTCTACCCACAGAAAATCAGAAATTTGCTGACTTTGAAAGGAGCTTAAATGTATTTTCTTTCTTTTTTTCTGTAATATACTTGCAATCATATAGTTCTTTACAATTCTAGGCAATCATATAGTTCTTTACAATTTTCATTTTTTTTTTACTACAAAGATTGTGCTGGGGAAATGATTTCAAACACACCTCCAAAATTAAATATAAAACTGCACTTGCAAATCTTTTTTGCCTGTGAATACAGCTGATCTGCTTATAAACTTGTAATGGCAGTTTTAGGAACTGCTGAAAATCTGTTTAGTTTGACAAGCTGGAATGCAGCCTTTAACCTGCAAAACAAAAATCCAATCAAACTGGTAGAAGAGCATTCTAACATACATTCAGTATTCCACCTATATTCTGGAGAATTCACCTGCTGCTTAAGGCAATAGTATTTCACATCACATTTATTAGTATAAGAAAGAATGCAGCAGATAAAATAAAAGATGAATAAATGGCAAATCAATATGAATATTCAGAAAAAAATATATGCAAAATTCAGCAGAGCATCCCTTACTAGGGAAGGAAAAAGACTCTATAAATGTGGTAGGACATGTCTCCACCACAGTTTCAATACTGCCTACACAAAACTTCAAAACCCCACCCCGACAGTCCTCCACCAAAGCTGGAAGTGAAATTATGATGCTCTAGGAATGCCAACTCTACAGCATACCAGATAGAGATCTTGAAAAGAGTAGAGTTTATCTTAACTGCTAGAGTTCCAGGTTGGAGTGTGTGGGGGAGACTTATTTTTCAGTGGAAGTTTCAAGAGCATCAAAGGATATATATGGAGAGATTTGCCCACAGAGATCCCTGAATAATGCATCAATATTCCAAACATCTAACTTATCTGGGAAATGCACACAGAAACTATGAACCAGATTCTATTCTACCTATTTGTCAAATCAATAGATTTAGGCACCTAAATGTGATTCTATTCCATTCACTACATATCTCTGAAAAACTGTTAACACAAGAGGTGTGTATCTCCTCTTCTTTCTCCATACTTCCTCTGTGTCACTCAATCTTAAGAATACAACAGTAGCATATTACAAAAGTAGATGCATTAATAGATTTTTCAGGATTTGAACAGAGTAGAATTAAAATCTGTTTTGGTGTTTAATAGGTGGAATAATACAGCTCTACCTTTATAGACTAAAGGACTAATTCAATATTAAGTCAGAAGAAAGACTTTCCAGTTCATAAACAATGCCAAAAATCAGTATCTACTGCAGTTGGGTTTTTCAATGAGATTTTTCATGCCAGCACTGCTCATACTGGGTGTCTACACGAGATGCTAACTGTACAGTAGCTGAATAATACTGTACAGTAACATGTCACAGCACAAAGAGTGCTAATATGTTACTGCACAGTATTATTAGGCTACTGTGCATAACTCTAGTTACTGCACATTTATTTCATACTTGATTATACAAGTACAAAATAAATGCACAGTAACCACTGTTCAGTAGTGCCTCATGTAGACACAGACAGTACATCTTTATGATTTACTGCATGACATTTAGTGAACATTAAACCCTAAGTTTATGATATCTGATGAGAACAACTTTACTTTAACCTGACATCCTTCTGTATAGAAATGAACTACGTATAACCAATATTTCTCTTTGATGTTTACCTTGATAACAGATGTCTCGACTCTGGATGGGGGACTCTGTACTTGTGCTGCTGCTGCCATATTTGCAATGGTACTAAGATGGTTCATCTGGCTCATTGCCATTGTGACAGATGCTGGAGGTAGGCTGACAGGAATTAATGGGTGGGGCATCATCATAAAAGGAAGTTCCAGTCCTACAGGGAAAGAAAAAACAAAAGGCATGAAAATATGCATATGATTTTTTAAAGATAAAATGTTAATATATTTTTCTGATGAGCAAATGATGTTGAAGTGACTGGCACCAAGCATGTTTCAAACTGAACTCTTCCAACATTTCAATACAGAACATTTAACATGTATGTGTGTGCATAACTCCCACTACTATGTTATTTATACAGAGAGAGAGGCTGGTATACCTCTTAGTTTGTTCAGATCAGGGTAATGCTGTACCATACCATAGCTAATCCATTGCTGTTCATTATAAATGCTGTCTATTTTAATACTTTCTGTAAGGTGCCTTACCAATAAATTAGTATGCCACTGATGCACAGGTTAAGAATTGTTTTAAGTTTCAGTTTTACTGTATCTATCGCTGTTCTTTATTACCCTTCCCCTGCTTATCATATTGCCCACATCTTTTATTTTGCAAGGCCTATTTAAGTAAACACAAAAGAAAGACAGGACTTTGCAAATTGCTGATGTTAGTGTTGAAAGATGTCAACCCGTACCATTTGGCAGAAGGTGGTTCTGTTGAAGAGGGTTGAGAGGATGACTAACTGGAAGATTATGCTGTCCAGGCAAGTTGGGGTGGTTAACAGAGGCCTGTGATCCTTGGGTGGGGGGAGACTGAAGTTTTTCTTTATCCCAAGAACCATCACTGCTGCCTGTGGGGAATGAATATAAATTATTTGGATGAAGGAAGACTCCAAATTTGCAATGTGTGAATTTGTTAGCAAGGCCACCAATTGAACCCATTTTGCAGCTGGCAAATTTGTTTTGGAATATGGGAGTTGGGGAAAGGGGGTTTTGTTGTTGTTTTATATTTTGTTTTTTTGTTTTGTTTTGTTTTCAACCAGGAGGAAAACCCATCTTTTCAGACAATCAGGTAAGGATAGCATTTGAAGTTTATAGTTAGAAACACAAAGGTTTGTATTAGTTGATTTGGAAAATTAGTAAGCTCTGAATTCTTAATTTCTGGCTAGAAGAAGGGTTTAAAAAATAGTTCCAATGAGAAATCAGCAATGTATTTTTTTAATTTAATGTTATATATGTATTATATTAATATCTTCACTTATCTTTTTGTAATTCTATATATACACTGTTTGTTTTTTATGCGGTAGAGTATTTTTACATGTCAAGTTTATGAAATTTTGTATTGTCTGACCATGGCCAGTAAAATTTAACTTTTGCTCATATTTGTTCTTCAATTTGGTACTAAAATAAAACTGGAGATATTAATTAAAATTATCACTCACTGATGGCAAGCAGCATACAAGCACTGCTACAAAGATAAATATTCCATTTATATTTCATTATATTCTACAGAATATAAAAAGTAGAAGGTCCATTCCAACAACTCTTGTGCTTGTTTAATGGTTACTGAAAGTAAGAAAGAATCTGAACTAATAGATGATCAGTATAGCAGGATATCAGACTATGGAGAAATCAGATTTTCACTACAGTGACTATCTGTACCTTTTAATACAATATAGTAAAACAGAAATATTCAGTTTTATACCAGTATTTCTCTCTCTCTCTCTCACACACACACACACACACACACAGAAGTTATTGATTTGTATATAACTGATGTGATGAAAACTTTAAGGGATCTCACAACTGAAGAAGTCTTTTAAATAAAAGTATGAACACTGTATATTAACAGTATGAATATAAACATATGTAAGCCCCTTTTGTATATGGAACCCAATTTTGAACTACTTACTGAACATGCCTCAGTGCCTTCAACAAGTTTTCATAGTTTCATAGTTGTTAGAATCAAAAGAGACCTCAATAGATCATCAAGTCTGACACCCTGCCCCAGGCACAAAAGAGCGCTCGGGTTATATGACCCCAGCCAGGTGTTTGTCTAGTCCCCCCAAAGTAAGGGAGAGCACCACCTCCCTTGGAAGCCCATTCCAGATGCTGGCAACCCTTACTGTAAAGACGTCCTCCCTGATGTCTAACCTAAATCTACTCTCTGTCAGTTTGTGGCCGTTGTTCCTGGTTATTCCAAGGGGTGCTCTAGTAAACAGAGCATCTCCCATTTCTTGCTGTCTCCCCTCCCCCCGCTTAATTTGTAAATGGCTACAAGATCCCCTCTCAGCCATCTCTTGAAGAGGCTGAAGAGATCCAGGTCCCTCAGTCTCTTCTTGTAGGGCTTTACCTGCTGCCCTTAACCGTATGAGTGGCCCTCCTCTGGACCCTTTCAAGGTTGTCCGCATCCCTCTTGAAGTACGGCGCCCAGAACTGGACACAATACTCCAATTGTGGCCTGACCAGTGCCGCATAGAGGGGAAGTATCACCTCCCTGGACCTGTTTGTGATACACCTGCTAAGGCAGGATAGAGGTATTGTTTGATAATGATTGTTAAGGCTATGACCAACACAATCTATTTAATGAACATTATATTTCTATTTAGCTTTTAAACATTTCCTTCAAGTTCTCCTTTTTTGTTCACTTTTTGAAGCTACTTTTCACAATAAGCTGATCAGTAGTAGGACATAGTCTATATACCACTTACTTCAATAGCAGCTAGATTAGCCCATTAGTCTTGACATTTTAAAACAATATTTTTATGAGATGACAAAAGCACAAAAGTTGGTAAAATTCCAATTTAATTCTCTAGATCTATTAAAAACCTGATTGTAAAAGCTGTACAACATAGTTTATAATGAAAAATACTCAGTTACTGCCACAATTTTCTTTTCCTAGCTACTTCATGAAGACAGTTAAGGCTCAATATAAATTCTAAGTCATTAGCTCAATACTGTCTAGATCCCAATGTAAATTGTTCAGAAGTAGGTAATGAAAATTCAGCCCAAATTCTCCAGCAATCAAACAATGTGGTTTTATTAAACAATGAAAAGAATCAATTATACTGGATACCTTTATTATTTTACAAGGAATTGAAAGAACCCTTATCAAATGTTTATATCTTAGCTTGCCAAGACATGACAGTCTTAGGACCAGATCCTGTTTTCTGATAGGTGGGTACATCACCTTCAATTTTGAAGAGTCAGATGCTTCAACACATATATGAAGTACCACATTTATGTGTACATCCCGAAAGTAAGACAATCACCTTGTTTTGGAAAAGTAGAACAAAGAAAAAAAATCCAATCTTACCTGCTACAGCACAAGCTTACCGTGCTAAATGCTGGCTACCTGAAGCAGGGGCAGAATCCATTCATCAACATCACTCCCCCGCCTCTTGCTGCTCAGCCAAAAGCTACCGCCTTTATCTGTGGAGCTTTAGTGGGAAGGTGAGTGATGCTGATGAATGGACTTTTCCCCTGCTCCCTGTGGCTGGAAGCCAAGAACAGCCTCGGCAGTCATTCCAGCACCCCATGCCTCCATTCCAGCCTAGAAATCATATCCCTTGCTTAAGACACTCACCCCAATTTGGGATGATTAATCTTCATTAAAAAATGTGTGATACACAAGTAAATATGGTATCTGGCTTTCAAATATGCTGGCCACCGGTGAGACTGGACTTTCAGCTATCATTTGGAAAAATAACTTGATTGTTTTATTTTTGTTTCCTACACATCTTTTTTTTTTTCTAAATGGTATATTTATTATCAGAATAGATTGTACATTTTATGCTTTCCAGATAACATTTTTGAAGAGCCTGACTATACAAACTGATTTAAATTCAGTAGGGTCTCAATTATGTATCTTCCCACAACCAATACTCCTACCTGCCTAAGACCATTACAAAAACTTTGTTGAAATTCAAGTTTTGTTCTGAAGATTTCATATTAGGGTTCTTCCAGGCCCTGAAAAGGGCTCACTAGAAAAAAAAAATAAAGAAGGCAAAAGGACAAAATGATTTTTTATGGACCTTAATTCAAACCTGGATCATTTCGACATCTCCCCCCCCACCCCATTTTATGTATAATTCTTTTAGCCTCAACAAGTTTTCTATTTTAAATTTGTACTTATTTTTTCCACTTGTATTAAAAAACAGATGTGTTATCTGGTTAAAGGTATGTAAATGCTATGTGTTAAGATAAAATGCAGTTTTTTATTGCGAAAAGCTGACCTTTATCATATGCAAATAGAAAAAAATAGGGCAAGTGAATTTGCATTTTATGCAGCATGTGAAATCTAATGCATCTCTAAAAAGTGGGAATCTTTCTAGGGTTTCATAGACATGTTGTGATAGAGTAAATTTTGTAAGCCATAGAGTTTCTGATTAAAGCATTTCATATCTGGACACAAATAAGAGCTTTTGTAAATGACAGTAAATATTTTTATGCCTTAGAACTACTTGTGTCCATTGCTTTGAGTGTCAGTAAACCAGTAATGTAATGAAATAGCAGGGACAAAATCCAGAAGGACTACCATCCAGGCTAATGCTTAATCAGTGAGAAATTCTTTGACACTTGGAACATGTCTAGGCATCATGGTTTGTGCCTGCTGATGTTACATCACCGTAGCTCATCACTACAGCGACGTAGCATCTTGGGTAGGTGCACCGTTGAAGTCTAATATAATTTGCCCACCTTAGTTTACAATGTAAATAAATCATCGTGACTATCCAAGCCATAAGAGCAGAAATCACTTTTGAAGTACAGCAAGTTACTCTTAATCCTTCATATGGACAAGCATAGATACAATCAGCAAGCATTGGCCATTTGCTGTGTTTTTGTTATGTTAGTTGAGTTCAACAACTTTTCTTTTAGAGGAAACAGCTATTGGTATTAATATAAAACTAAAATAAGTGTTATCCCTCAGCCAGCAATTCCCTTGCCTTTTTTTAATTTGATTTTGTCATACAGACAGTCATTTCAAAAAGCTTTAAAAATCTACTGCATTCTTCCTCATTACTTGTTGCCCTGCTGGAGGCTTACGTTTTCCAGTTTCCATCAGTGGTTGTCAACTCTTTATAATAGGATTAAGAGCTTGGACACCTGATATCCCTGGGTGCTGTAGTTCACCCTTATAAAAGCTGTTTGCTTTAAATTGAGAGAAAATCAGTTTTTAGTGGCATAATTAATTAAATTATGCAAAGTGTTCCAGATTCAGCATAACACTTTCTGAAGCGAGAACTGGAAGCTCTACCTTGCATTTCAAACTGCATTTCAATTGATACTGCACTAGACTGACCAGAGAGTATTATTTTGAAGGCTTTTCTCCACCAGGGATCCAATTTAGAAATGTGGATGTTTAACATTAAGTACCCA